AAAAGGCAAGTTACAACGGTTATTTTGGAAGGTTGCGATGGTTTGAACCGCCTCAATAGTTGTGTGGCGACAGTTTTGGTTCTGCCACAAAAGCACTTGTTGTTAGTCTATACTATGACGGTTGCTGGAACTTCCATTCCGACTGACATTCTTATATGCGACAGTTTCAAACTGTCGTGAATTTTATTTGGAGTTCCAATTTCAATGTTGATTGATTGCAACAGTTTCAAACTGTCATGGTGTGAAACTATGACTGTTCAAACCGACACAATTTATTTTACAAATCCTTAATATAATTTATTTCGTAACAATTTAAGCGATAATAATTATTTATTTTTACACTTTTAGCAATAGTTTAAGCCATTATTAATTAACATCTCAAATTTTTTATTTGAGTATTATTCTTTATAATATTCCTTTTTTCTTTAAATTATTGACATCTCAAAAAAAATTATAATATTATTTTTGTTTTCGTGATATTTATTTAACTTTTTATTTTATTTTCTATCACTTTTTAACATAATAAAATTTCAATTACAAATATCTAATATCGAATAAGCATCATAATGCCAAAAAAGTGTAAGTTTCATAATCATAATGTCATATAGTACAATAAATTAAAAACATATCAAATTCTAATCTTATAATAATAAGCATCATAATCTCAAAGATACATGGAAAAGTTCATAATCTAATTAATTTGTATCAAAGCCTAATTAGTCCTTTTTGATGATCCATTATCTTTAATTTGGTATCTAGACTCAGAAGAATGTCTACCATCAATGAGTGATTCTAAGTATGATCCATGTAAAAATATATTAAAAATAAGGCTTAATGCATCCTTTAGTCCCTTAACTTAATTTAAGGTTTCACTTTAGTCTCTTATTTAATAAATGTTCGTTTTAAGTCCTTTAAATGTCATTCTGTTTATCACATTGGTCCTATCCATTAAACTTTGTCAAATTCTGTTAACTTATGTCTGTGTGGCATGTCAGTTGGTTCTAGGTTATATGACATGAAATTATTTTATTTTATATTAATTAAAAAATAAATTTTAAAAACAAAAAACTGAAATGTATTTTGTACCCTTAAGTTTCTCTCTTATCCTCTCTTCCCTAACCCTAGCCGTCACCTTTTCTTCCTTTGGCCATCACCATTTTCATCACACCTCATCATCATCAACTATAAAAATCTTCCTCAATCAAATTGGAAAAGCTTAGAGAACTCAGATCTCTAAAACTCCTCATCAATCTCCTTTAAAACTCTTCCTCACTGTCAGTGGAAGAATCAAAACCCTTAAAGACAGTTGAGAAATGTTCTTCTTACAAAGAAGAAAGTAGTTTTATTTCCGATCTTAAAGATTTTGAGAAAAAGACTTTGATTTAGTTCAAGTCTAAGGTTTGGGAAGCAATTTTATGGAACATCCAACGCTGGTGCCCGTCTCATGGCTCCTCCGTAGAAATTTCTGATACTACAAAATGTTCTAAATTTTTGGAGCAGGTAAATGTTTTTTTTTATCTTTTTCATTCTTTATTATCTTTTTCATCTACAATTAAGATTCCAAGCACTCAACATTTTTAGATTAAGAGACAACAGCTTAGTACTCTGAATCTTTGAATTGATTCACGGTAAATTTGTCTCTCTTACAGGTTCGCTGCACCTCGCATAAACAATTCAGTTGAACACAAAGGTCATTAAAGATTGTTGCAGGAGGAGGTCTTGTCCGTGTATCAGGTTCGGAAACCATTGAGTTTCAATCTGAGTGAAGTTTCAGTTTGTTAAGGCCTCTAATATAGTTTATGTTCTTCAGTCATGATTCGAGCTTGGGAGTTTGAGGGCATTTTGTTATAGTATTTTCCGTAAGTTGTATTTTCTTGAAAGAACTACTGTTATTGTCATTATTATTTTGGTTATGTTCTTGATTCTTGAAGAAATTTATTTTTGCTATGTGTCTTGGTGTTATGCATTATGTAAAAGTTGTTCCAAGTTGTTTCGAATCATACCGCTGAGGATAGATTAGGCAAGTAATTGTATTGTGATTTTGCTTTTGACTGAAAAATCTAATTTACTTCTTTGTTTCATTGCAGGCGTAGACTCTGGAGGCCTCTACAATCTTAGGCTTTGGCGTGTTCCGAATTAAAGAAATGTGTTAGGTTTATCTCGACGAGTAGAGAAACAGAGGACCTAAATTAATTTAGATGGGGCATTCTGCAGCAGTATGAGACTTTAGAGTAGCAACTGAAATTACAAAGGACCAGAATGGAATTGGTCAAGTTGTGCTTCAGACTCCACAAGGCGCTTCAGCATGGGTGAGAAGAACTTGTTGATTGATAACCGTGTTGTGAGTATTAACCTGGTTTGTTAACTTTATCACAAATTCCAAACCTGAAGACTATGTGAGTTCATATTATGTTATTATGTGAATACTTAGCTACATTCATAATTGATAAGATATTGTTTTTTATAGTTAATTACATGTTTTCATTCTCTGTTTTGTTTGTATAATAGTTGGATTTAATCACTCTTTTTTCATGTTTTCAGCAATCTTGCTAGGAACAAGTTCAAGTGGAGAGATACCAAGACTACTATATTGGAATGAAGTATTGAATTACCTGTAGGTTTATTTATGCCACCATGAAACTTAAAAATTTCTTATAGATTCATGTAACAAAAATTATTAGCTCCCTCTAATTAAGTGTTGAAGGACACAAATATGGATTCAATGGTTTTCTTTGTTCTATTAAAGCATCAATGTGTTGTGAGTATCAATCTGGTGTATTGTTTAGTATAATACAAGCACTAGAGGATCTTCGTCTCGTAATCATTAAAGCGGATATTGTGACTTTCGGTGGAAGAATGAAGAATGTGTTTGTTGAAATTAGTTGTGGGGAATAAAATTTTAATGATTTTGAAGAATCTTGTTTATATATATTGTATAGATTGCATGTGTATAGATTGCATGTGTAGTTAATAATATTTTGGGTTGATTTAGAATGATATTTTTTATACTCTTTTTTTGGTTAATGTGATATGAAAATGAAGTTGTTGTATAACTTATTTGTTGATTTCTTTGTGTTGGTTATGTGCAGAATATACAAAAGTTTCAGCATTAAAATGACCTTTTATTTAGAAACTTACAGGAGAATAATTGTTATATATTTTTTTACATATTTTTAACAATTTGTGGGGGGTTTAACCTCCGAAAACAAAACCACCGCAATTTAAATAAAATACTAATTTTTTTTAGTACATATGTTGACTCAGTCATGTCTTGCTGACTCAGTCTTGTCTTGTTGTCTTGCCACGTAGGCGAAGTTAACATTTTCACAGCCAAATTAACAGAATGGTCCTAGTTAGCTAACGAGAGTATTGTTAAGGGACTTATTTGTAACATTTATTACATAAGGGACCAAACTGAAATCTAAAATTAAGTTATGGGACTTCAGGACTAAATAAGCCTAAAAATAATATACTCTTTAAAATAATACTCATTTTATTTAACTTTTAAGTATGATTTATACTATGTAAAAATTCACATAAGATTATATGTATCAAAAGTAATATACATGTCTTCTACTAGAATTTTGCTTTTGCATTAAGAGCATAATTTCCAATTTCCTAGCATTGTCCCTTTGCTTTAAGAGTGCGATTTCCTCCATCAATTCATAAAATTTAAAGTTCTTTTCTTTAAGTGAAATAATTTCTTCTTGTATTTCTTTTATTCTTTCATTTGCTTGTAGATCTATTAATCCGATATGGCGTTACTCCAAGTCTCATACAACAAACATATTCAGGATGTTCTTTTCTAAAGACTTTCTGAAATGCCTCATTTTCAGACACATAGTCCTAAATTGCAGCTTGTATTTTTTTTTGCACATGCAAAAGCATAAATTGAGTGAGTTCCTGCACATGACAAGATGCCACTCTACTAATTCATACATTGGTTATGATATTGTACATAGCTGCAGCAAGTTAGTGAGTATAAATAAACAAACCACTAGTAATAATGTTAACTTACATAGATTAGATACTACTAATACCTCAAAAACTAAAGCAACCAAACCTCAATGAAAAAGCATAATTGAAAGATAGAGGAATCAAAATACATAATTAAAAGATAATCTTTTGGAATAGGCAACGTGATTGAAAAAATACTTTTCTTTTGGAATGTGGGGAACAGTGCAAGACTTTGTAAAGAGTTGTGACATTTGTCAAAGATATACTCTACATGGTTGGTTAAGCGGAAGGGTCGGGGTCTAGAGGACACCACATGGGAAGACGAAATATCCTTGTAGAGTCAATTTACAAGTAATTGAACACTAGGGGAGCTGAGGAACAAAAAAATAGTTAGTTAAATGGTTCTGGAATTTTGGGGGGAATTTGTTATTTGAGTAGGGAGACCCCGGGAGAGTGAGTCATTGGTTGAGTACTACATGGTAAATAAGTTTTAGACTCTTGTTATTTCCTTATTTTAGATGGGTTATTGATGCCTTTAATCTCATTGGTTGAGTAAGTACATAAGTTTTAGACTCTGATTTGTCAAACAAACATTAATAAGTTTGAATTCTACATGAAATTGAGTTTCTGTGTATGCTAACTACTAAAAGGAACCTTTTTCTCCCCAAAAAACACACGAAAGAACACCAGTTTAGTGAAATACAATTTTGTACACTATGCTAAAAAAGACTTACGAAAGCGCTTTTTTGGGCCTTTAAAAGCGCTGTCTATGGTTGCGCTGCTATAGGTTTTATCAGCGCTTTTTTGTTTAATGAAAAGCGCTTTCATAGGTCTACCTAAGGCAACGCTTTTTTCTGGAAAAGCACTCTCATAAGTTTTCTTTTAGCAACGCTTTTTTATGGAAAAGCGTTGTCTTAGGTAGGCTTTTAGCAACGCTTTTTTCTGGAAAAGCGCTTTCATAGGTGGTCTTTTAGCAGCGCTTTTGCCTGGAAAAGCGTTGTCATATGTTTACCTTAGACAACGCTTTTTGTGAAAAAGCGCTTTCATAGGTTACCTAAGCGCTTGTAACATGTTGATGCTGTTCCAAGCACACCAGCAAGTACTCCAGCGGTATTGGATAGACCGAGCAGTATCCCCTAAAAAAAAGAAATGAATATAGAAATCATATTTCTTTCCCTAAGGACAACAATTTAGCATAGTAAACCATCTTCTTGTTTTTGCATTCTTGTTCTGCATTTCAAATTATAATGAAACCACTTACAGAATATCGAGGGGCGATATCTTGATGGTTTGAATATAATCCAGACTGAGAGAATGCATTTGTTCCCTGTTCAAGCAGAATTTGAAACAGGTGAGGCGAGGAACATGTAAGGTCAATGGAATTAATGGATTAACCAACGCTAACTAATTTTAAATGATGTTATAGCGAGAGAGAAATTTATAGTTAGGCTGTCTTAAAAGAGGTTTCAAGACACAGTTGTAAAGAAAATTTAATTTTGCTGTTTAAGTTGCAGAATATGAAGCATCTGGTATGAACTAAAAACTAAGTAAAAGTTATAGAAGTGAACTCTGACTTAGGAACAATTGTTGTTAAATAGAAGCTATAACGATGCTATAGCGATAGAGAAGCAGAATTTGAACATATCACTATTGCTCCGCGATACCTATTGAAAACAAAATGTTGTCAAATAACAACTATAACACTGTTGTATAGTGAAGTTTGAATAAACCATTTTTTCTACTATTTGCAATTGACAGCACATTTTAGGAAAATAATTAGTAGTCACAGTTTCTCTAGAAAGATTTAAAGAGATGCACAACAACAGAACTTATGTTGGGATTATATGAAAATTCTTTATCAGAATAAGAAATGCATCAATACAGAAGAAGAAAACCTGACTGCAAGTCATACGCAAAACAGCCATTACAGGAGAATGAATGTGGCTCAATTGAGTCAAGAAAAAAGCAGGACCTAGAAACCCAACTGTTTGCATTATCTGCAAAGAAAGTGTAGAACTATAGTGTGAATCGTGGTATTAAAATATTTTATGTGCCTCTAAATAAGTAAACCATCAAAAGAATAAATTGTGAGAAGATAAATCGACGGGAGATACCTTGCGGACCGTTGTAACAGATACACCTAGGGTCACAAGAGTGTCTGCAATCAAACCACCAAAATTTGCAGAAATTGCCATCGTAAGCCATGGTAAAACACAAAATAGTCCAGATTCTGTAAGATTGAACTTTAACACCTATTATATTTGAAAATACCTCTGGTTAACTTTAACAAAGTCATTTTCTTTTGAAGTATTCAATAAGATTGCAAATAAAAACATTTTGTGTATCTTGATGTTGGTTAAAACATGAGTCAAAGTCTGAACTATACTAGCTTCAGTCTTGACAGTGCTGAGTGAGAATTGAAGCTTGATGAATATAGGTATTCTTTCTTATGCATAGGTAAAGTTAACTTCATCATAGAAATAAATTCATGCACAAGAATGCAAAACATAAAAAGAAGAAAAAAAATATGAAAATGAATCTAACTTTGCTAGCACCAAGTCGCTACGTAGCGAACATGCAAAGAAAAAAAGACTTACTTGGTTATAGTATGTTGGCATCCATGTAAGAAGAATGAAAGTTCCCCAATTATGGAAAAAGTGGCACACTATCAGGGCCCAGACTGGTGGTTTAGACAAAATTAATCTCCAGGGTATTTCCTTCATGGGTTCCTTGGACATACCGTTAGTAGCAATTAACTTCTTTTCTTCTGGAAAAATTTCAGGATCATCGAGTGACGAACTATGCGCCTATAGCTCCCAAAATAACATGGAAAATTAGCATGTGAAACAATAAAATTTCTACTTAGATAGAGCGAACTTTTGGGAAACAAAAAACAATATGTTGGTACTTGGTAGTTAGAAAACTTATAATGAAGATATCGACTTCAAAACAAAAAGTATTTCTATCGAGAAAATGTGTGTTGTGCATATATTTCCAAGTTCAGAAAGGATGCATTTATGCATGAGTAATATTACATATGGGAATTCTAACCTTATTAAGCCATATACAAAACCAAACAGTCCCTACAGAACCAAAGGAGTAAAACATTGATGGCCATCCATATTGATGAATTAGGAAAGGTGAAAAGGCGAGTCCAGTGATTGATCCAAGGTACATGCCACTGTATACAAGAGCTAATGATCTACTTCTCTCTGCCACAGGAACCCATTTTGAAAGAATATTATTCATGGCCGGCATAGCAACCCCCTAGTAAGATCCAAAACAAGTTAGCTCCACATGGAAAAAAGCTATCATCCTATTGTAGCATCACCAACTATATGAATCAAATCATTACTAAAATCAGAGACAGTATGGAGTTCAAAAATGAATGTTTCACTTTTATACTTTATTACAGTATATGTCCCTAGCCTAATTATGTTATATCTTTTTCCGCAACTGCAATAAATAATCGAATGGAAACGTACACAAATTCCCTCTCCTAAAGGGTAAACTTGTAACTTGTAAGACAATATCAAATGTGAACAAATTTAATATCACTACTACAGCCATTTTTAAACTCATGTGATTTAGCCAATGGAGTTATATTTAGAGATGGAGGTAACAGATGACTTGTTTTGCCAACAAAATGGAACATTTAACTACACGCACCTCACTGACTCCCATGAATGCACGGGAAACTAGTAGGAAAGGCAACCCGAGTTTAGCAGCAACAAGAGTGAGGATTGTAGCGACAGACCACCAAATGACGCCGAATCCTAAAACGTGCTTCCCTCCCACTGTGTCAGCCCAAATTCCACCAGCAATCTGCAACAAGTATCTACCTATGCATCAGAGTCATGGCCTTAAGTTCAAACTTATACCAAAAGAAAAATAGCTACTAATCAAAAGCACACGAAAACCAGACAAACACATACGAGATGAGGAAAAAAATGATACCTGATATGAATTGCAGTTGGCCGGAGAAGTGGAGCGCCGTTTACCGGCGTAGAAGCTCTAGTTTAGGGTTTTTTCGTGAAGAAAATCTGACTGAGAATAGAAAAGTGATACGAATTGTGTTTTGATATTTATTATAAAACTACCTACGAAAGCGCTTTTAAAAGCGCTTTCTAAAGGTCATCTATAACAGCACTTTTACATCAAAAAGCGCTTTCGTAGCATATCCTATAGCAGCGCTTTTAAAAGCGCTTTCTAAAGGCCAGCTTTAGCAGCGCTTTGGAAAAGCAATTTCTAAGGCTGACCTTTAACAGCGCTTTTGAAAAGCGCTTTCTTAAGGTACCCTCTGAAAGGCTAGCTTTAGCAGCGCTTCCCAAAAAGCGCTTTCTAAGGGTGACCTTTAGAAGCGCTTTTGAAAAGCGCTTTCTTAAGGCACCCTTTGAAAGCGCTTTTTTAAGCGAATTGTTTTTTAAAACCTACAGCAGCGCTTTTTTCCAAAAGCGCTTTCTTTTATGTGCTGCTAAAACTTATTTTTGGCGTAATAGTACTTCTCATTTGACACATCCAGGTGCATGGTTACAACTCAAAATTGTTTTCAGTTACATCAGAAAATTATTTTCAACTACATCAGATTCATCTATAACATAGATAAAGTAAAACAAAACTTAGAAAATAAAAGAAACAGGAGGATATAACATTATTACCACACTGCAAAAATGCATCCATTCCACCCATAATACATGCAAGATGAAAGATGAAAAGAAAAACACCAATGGATATGAAATATGAAATATGAAAGGAAAAACGCACATATTAGCATAAGTAACTTAGGATTTAAGATAAAACTTAGGGTTTGAGAAGGCAAACCTGCTAAGATTTGTGGTGGGGTGGTGGTGGTTGCTTTGACGGAGTCGTAAGCTGAGAGAGAGAGAGAGAGAGAGAGAGAGAGAGAGAGAGAGAGAGAGAGAGAGAGAGAGAGAGAGAGAGACCAAGGCACGGTTGTGGAAGATTTGACGGCAGTGTGGTTTCTTTAATGGTGGTTGCTTTGTATTGAGTTGAGAGAGATTCCCAGAAGTAGTATATGAAGCAAAAAAAAAAAATTCTTAATTTTGTGTCACAACCCTCTTTCTCCAATGGGCATGCTTTAGGGAGATTTCGGGGGGCGACTATTGTTCAACCATTGTAGACCTAATTTCTTCTTTATCCAATTCGGCATGGTAATTAATTTCCATATATCTGAGGCATGGTTGTTGTTCAACCGTCATATACCTAAGTGCTTCTCCAACTTAGCGCATTAACTTGCTTATATTTGGGGGACGACTATTGTTCAACTGTCGCACACCACTTATTAGAGAGGTTGGCACACAACCTTCGGGGATGTTTATGATTATTTTAAAAAAATCAAAGGACAATTGTCCAAAATCGTCACAGACTCTCGTGGAACCGTCACATCCTATATTTTGTAAAGTCTATTTTTCTTGTAGTGAATGAAGCATATTTTCCGCAACTTGAGGCAATATACAATGGACTTCACTTAAGGATCCTTATTTTTCTATGAGGAAAAATACAATGGACCTTCACTAAAGGATCCTTGCTGCCATAGGAGGAAATATACGTCGTACCTTCTCTGAAGGATCCTTGTCGACCTATGAGGAAATTTACATTGGACCTTCATTTTGATGGATCATTTACGCCCCATAATGCAATATACGTTGGACATTAATTGAAGGATCATTTCCATCCTATGAGGAAATATATGTTAGACCTTCAGTGAAGGATCTTTTTCACTTTATGAGGTAATATATGTTAGACCTTCACTGAAAGATCCTTGTCACCCTATGAGGCAATATATGTTAGACCTTCATAGAATGATATCTTCCTCCATATAAGGTATTATACATTGGACCTTCAGTAAAGGATCCTTGTTTCTCTATGAGGCAATATACGTTGAACCTTCAGTAAAGGATCATTGTCGCCTTATGAGGCAATACACGTTGGACCTTCACCAAAGGACCAATGCCTTGAATCTCAACGCTTTAGGGACTCGTCTCAAGCAGAAACCTTGCACATCTAAGGCAACATAAAACATCAATAATAAATTAACAAACTTCGATAAATTGAGTTAACGTGAAATTAATTGTCTTAAACGCTTCAAGAGCATGATCACCACAAAGGTTTCACAACCGAGAATCAATAAAGGAAAATTGGATCGACGCTCCAAGCAATACTTGAGGTATTCACCCTCTAAAAAATTCTCTAAAGGACTCGTCCCTAGTATTCGCTTAAGAGACTCGCTCCTGGAATCACTCGAGGAACCCGCGGAATCTTTGAGACGACAATATGCTTGAGTTAAATTACTTCTCCCTCTTTTCAAGGCATCGTGCTTGAGGGACTATGGATTGCGATAGTTTACTAGGCCTAAAAGGAAATGGTATGTTATGGAACTAAGGGGGCGAATACCCAAATGAAACTTGGTCACCCAAAGCGCATAAAGCAATGTGGTCGCCTAAAGAACATCGCAGATCGCTCAATTGGGCTTAAGCCCAAAATCTACAATCTATCTCATGAAATACTTATGGTCTTTGACGTGAAAAATCATTCCTCCACTATTAAAAAAGGGGACTTGGTCTCCTCTACTCCGCGTTCTTGATAAGGGAGAAGAAAACCATCTCCTGACTTTCTAGTCCATGCTAAAGGATCTTCTATAAAAATATAAATTCCAGAATTAATAAGGGAATCACGGATTTTCACCAAAAATATATCAAGAGAGTCTCACATAATTCCTACAATTTCTACGTGAATAGACTCTTCACAACTATTATTTACCCTAACTCATTATAATCCATCAAAGATAGATTATCACCTTTATTATACTTTTTAACAAGTACATGGTCTTAGATTTCAATCAAACTCTAGAAATGGAGTTACTCTTCTATATTCTAATCCAATTTGCAATTATAATTATAGAAGGATATTCCTTTTTTTATAGAAAAAGTTCTGTTGCTCGCAGAGAGAATACTTATTTATTTAAAAAATTATAATTTGGTTGAATACTTATTTATTAAAAAAATTATAATTTTGTTTTTAATGTATTATGTCGCTAAATTATTGAGCTAATTGTTTTTTTAATTAACATCCAAACATCAGTTTTTGGATGAAATTTATATCTTTTATCATGATGTCGTCTATTTTATTATTTTTTACTAAACCTTTAATTTATTTTGCTGCGAATCATGGTGGATGCAGTGATTAACTTCCATCGAAATTTTGATGCCATTTATAACGGTGGGTCACAAATCCAACAGAATTGGACACCATTAACTTCTGTTCATAAATAGCTTGGCCTAATAACATGACCTGCACTGCTTCAAACTTGTTTTATTTAACAATCTTTCTTTTTTCAGCATACGATATATTTAATTTTTGTAAAGAATTCATAAATAACTTACATATAAAGTATGCCAAACCGATAATTTTGAACAGATACTAACATATTATATCATATATTTTCTGATATCAAATTAAATTTAGATTACCACTTGCACTTTTGTCGTAAATAATTAATTGAACTAGAATTAATTTATACTCACTATTTCTTTTTTATATAAGATAAAGAAGAAGAAAAAAAGTATACTACATCATAATATTATTATAAGTCATTTTAGAATATTAATAAATCATTAATATTATTTTTTATTATATATTAAAATATTTATTATTCTCTCTTTTTTTAATTATATAAACTCATCTGTCACATAACATTAATGAAAGATAATTTTTTTAAATATATAATTTTTCTTTTTATATAATAATTATAATATTTCTAATATATGTGAAAAGACTAAAACAATTTATAATAAAAAACAAAAAGATTCTAAAACTATTCATATAAAAAAATTGTATAAAAGACTAACTTCGTTAAAAATTGAGTAAATTTTTTTTGTTGAAATTAAAGATTTTTCATTACGAAATAAATATATATATATATATATATATATATATATATATATATATATATATATATATATATATATATATATATATATATATATATATATATATATATATATATATATATATATATATATATATATATATATATATATATTGTATTATAACTATTCATATATATTTTGAAATTAATTAAAATAAAAGAAAATTAATTATATAAATTTAATGATTATGATTAAATGACGGTGTAAAACTGTCTTATACTGTATATATCAATTAAATTGTATTATTTGTTATTATTATTAATATTATTATTATTATTATTATTATTATTATTATTATTATTATTATTATTATTATTATTATTATTAAACATAATAATTTATAATATAAAAAATCAGTTTATCATTTCGGTAGACTATCATATTATCTTAGATAAAATATATTTTTTCCAAAAATTATATTTCATTTTATAACCTCAATTAATATGATTTGATCTATAAAATAGTAATTAATATCACTTTAATATATAATAATTTAAAATACTTTAGACGTTTATCAAATCAAATATCACTATTTTAAAATATATAATAATATTATTTTATATAGAAATATTTGAATAATAAAATTTAATTAGATTGTTTGCACATCTATTGTCGAGGTAGTTTCTTTTTAATATATTTATTTAACTTTTTTAACCAAAAAAGGTGGTTTATTTAAAAAGAAAAGTATTCTAAACATTTTATGCATATATAAATTAAATTTTATATTTATCCAAATTTTTTTTTTTATAATTTAAATAAATATTTGAAAATAACTTTTTACTATTAATTAAGGACAATTTGTGAAACTTGCAATAGTCACCATCATGGTTGGACCCTACGACTACATGTTCATGTACCACACATAAAATTGCCTCTCTCTTTTTCAAATTGAGAGCTTTACGAACTAGGGGTATTTTGGGTATTGCCTCTCTATTTCTATAAATCTATTTCTATGTATACTAGTAAATAAAAACTATTTTGAAATAAATGTCATTTTTTTATTGTATATCTTTTTTTTCTTTCAGTTTTGCTTTTTAATTTATACTATATACCATATATTTAAAGTTTTTTTCCCACTTTTTATATACGGTAATGGGAAATACAAATAGTTAATAAGATTAATTTAGTAAAAAAATTATTATTTTTAATAATTTTATTATACTTTTTATTAGTTGCTAAAATCTTAAAACAATGATTTAAAATGAAAAATATTCAATAACTTTTTCTAGAAAATGAAAAAAATATTAATTATTAATTACTTATATGATCTTTAAAGATTTTTATTGTTTTTTCAAATAGTTGGTTTAATATAGTTTTGGACTGGTCCTATATTCAGAGTGGGTCCAGTCTACACTCTTTTTTTGGCGTGACCTGTGCGACCATGGCCCAAATCTTTTTCACTCCCGTTGAGCAGTATCGACCATTTGTCCTTCTAAATCGGGGCTGATCCACGAGGATCGACGGGCAACTCTCAGTTTATCTGACATCAAGTCGCTCAGACAACCAGGGACCGATCAGACCTCTGCCCGTAACCTACCTCCTCCTCGGAATCAATGACTAGTTACGGGCATACCTGCTCGGTAAGACCAAGTCCTGACAGTTATCTATTTTCACAGGTCCGCATATCTAGGTCCAAAAATAGGAATCGATGGCTACGCGTGTAACACCCAAATCCTACCCCAAGTAATTATGCAACATAAATCAGAGTTATAAAATTTCAACCATACAAATGGATCGTGACGTCACAAATTCTTCTAACAAATTCATTGCATTCGTCGTGGATATATAACACTTTTTCGAACATCGGAGGAACCATCAACATAACATCTTTAATCAAATGAATCAACATCTACGCAGCGGAATTCTTAATAACATCTCTAATAGAACAACAACTTCGAAACATCTCATATAATAATAATCGACTTAAAATTCAACAACTGAAAATCATCAATCAAAACAGCAAGCGTTCATCCCCTCGAGTGTTACATATCAGAGCAATGACACCGACTCGAACTATTGAAGGTATACAACCTTCACTCTCGATTACCTGCACATTACCAACATAGGAGCAACATTCAAACAGAAGGGGTGAGATATCTAACAATATAATAAAGCGCATGATAATTAATATATTAAGTTAGATTAAAAACGTCACAACTTCTCATCTCATAATCAACGATAATTACAACATATATACTCATTCATCAATATCAAATACACTTCATTATTCAATCATATAATGCGACTCAAAACTATGCAAATGCATGTGGTACCATTGGAGCAGAACTCCCATCTCAAAAATCTGCCAATTAATAGAGGCATCAACAAGGCATAGCCTTCATCTCAAAATTTTCCAATCCAGGCCATCTCAACGAGCATAAGCTCCATCTCAAAAATGCAATGTATGCGACTCATCATGAATGTAATAACAACACCCAAATTACCAACATCTCAATCATCTCAAAACAACAACATCTCTATCATCTCAAAACATCTCAATTAACAACATCTCATAACATCAAAATTATTTATTAAACATCGTTTATTATCACAAAATCATCGAACACAACTTCATCAATAACATCTCACTAATACTCAACTGTATATTAATAGTACAGTAATCCATCATGTTATTCTGCTAATTTATATCGTTACTGTCACTAATCCTACTATCATAATT